CTTGGAGTTGTCCCGCCACCACCCGCTCTAGCACCTTGCCCAGGAACGGGATGTTGGCCACCAATCTATAATTGGTGGCCACCTCTGGATCCAAGGATGCCTTCTTTAGGACTGGCCGGACTACTGCCTCCTATAAAGTGGCAGGCACCCGACCGTCTCTTAAAGAGGCGTTGACCACCTCCAGGATCCAGGTCCCAATCCCATCCTTGGCTTTCTTAAGTAGCCAAGATGGGCATGGGTCTAGTAGGGAGTACTTGTCCAAGCACCTTGTCCACATCATCAGGCCACAACAACTAAAATTCATCTATTAATTGTGGACTCGACGGTGTCGTTGGCATCTCCCCAGTAGAATCTGGTTCAATAGTAGAGTCAAGCTCGTGACGAATCTGAGCAATTTTCTCCCTGAAATGCTTGGCAAAGTTGTCACAGCGGGCCTTCGAAGGTGGCACAAGATCTTTCTTTGGGCCCGGATGTATCAGCCCCTGCACCACCTGAAAGAGCTCCGCCGGACAGCATTGTGAAGAGGCAATGGAAGCAGAGAAGAATTTCTTCTTTGTCATCCTCACCGACACAGCATAGGCCAGATAGTGGGCTCTTAAGTGTGTTTGGTCAGATTCACCCCATGATCTCCTCCACCTACACTCTAGACGTCTCCCATCCTGCTTCATTGCCCGTAATTCAGGAGTGTACCAAGGAGATGAACGGGCTCTGCCAGGTGGGAGAGGACGCTTGGGAGCGATTGTGTCAATAGCCCTGGTCATCTCCCTATTCCACAGTTCAACCAGGACATTGACAGGATCACCAGCCTTGTCAACCGGAAAATCCCCCAGAGCTTTCAGGAATCCATCAGGACCCATCTGGCTCCGGGGGCGGACCAATACAATCTGGTCCGCACCCTTACAGAGGGAAAGGCCGCTCTCGAGCTCAAACTTTATGAGGAAGTGATCTGACCATGACAAGGGCATCAAACTTAAATTCCTCACCCTCTGATCACCCTCTGATCACCCTCACCCTCAGATCATTGACAGGCAAACACGTCTTGGTCTTGAAAGATTGCTTGCATGAAGAGCCCCTCCAGAGACCTAGAAGTATGGCTTGGCATCTAGGACTCCACAGAGAAAATGGTGGTGCTGAAATCCACGGCCAGGACTGCAGCAAGAATTTCTGTTACTACTGCTGGGGCCAGGAGGGAGGCAGCCTGAGTCCCTGAGGCCACACAGAGTGCAAGGAAAAGAAGAGAGTAACAATGGACCTCCATTTACTACCTCAAGAGAGAGAATGCAAGTGAGGGCAGCTGCAGGAGGTTTCTCAGAGCAAGAACGATGCCTTCCTGGGTGTCTGCAGGAACACCCGGGAAACTGGGAGCAGCTCCTTCCCCAGGCAAGCAAAATGGTGATGACAAGGCTATCAAGTTCTGTTGTGTGACAGAGGAAGTCAGAGCATTAAGGCAGCAAGCAAGGAGAAACTGGATAGTCCTTTGATGGGTTGCTTGCTTTGCTTTAACCTAGCAGTTTAAAGGATAACCTGTCTCTGTACTTCTAATTAAAAGTTAAAGGTTGCATCTCATCTGGCTGCAGATCTTTTGTTAAAGTGCCCTGGGTTGAACCTATACCATCAGAAGCAAGCACCTCTGAGTTCCCTGGTGCTTATTCCTAGGGGATTATGTATAAGATTGCTGTGAGACTTCATTTGCCTTTGGTTAGTTTTGGATATGAGAGTATTATGACAGAGATTTTCACCTGAGTTAGTTCCTTTGAGTGAGTGAGAGAGAGAGAGAGAGAGAGAGAGAGAGAGAGAGAGAGAGAGAGAGAGAACATGCACACATCCATGCACATATATATGTGTTATGCCTTTGCTTTGATGGGGTCTCCACTTTACGTTAGCAGTTTAAAGGCTAACACTTCTCTGCAAGATTGTTCACATTGCTAATTAAAAGCTGAAGGTTACATTCCAGGTAGGGATGACTGAGAATTTAATTTCATTGCAGTTTTGATGTGAACTTACTAAAGTCTGCTAAGCTGTCTGTATTCAGGGCAAAAAAAAAAAAAAAAAATTAAGATTTCAAGAAATGGAATGTGTGAGAAACCAAAATGGACAAATTTGTCCATCCAAGCTGGGATGAACAAAGCAGCTTTACTCTGAAAAGTCAGCATATGAATCTAAAAGTCAGCATTTAGATTCAACCATCCTCAAACTGTTTATGACAGGCTGGTGTATCATTGTCTTCTCCATGCTGGGAATAGCTGTACCTGTTGTATTAGCCCAGTTCAGTTCATTTTCAGTTTGAATTTATCAAAATCAGCCAAATTCTTCATATTTTGCAGGGAGAGAACTTTAAATTTTAAAAAGCTGAATGTGGAAGGAAGCAAAACTGTGAGATTTGCCTTTCTCTAATTTAGACCAGTTGAAAATCTTTTGTGAAAGTTCTTTGAAATTATGCAGGCAGAGGAAAGCAGCACCGAGTTCACTGGGCCTTACTTCCAGGTGGCTGGGCATGGGATGGCTGTGAGATTGTATCAGTCCTTTGTTTTTTCGATGTCTCTGTTTTATGAAGTTTAACTCCTCTGAGTATAATATTCCCAGAGGCAGGATAAAAATGGGTCCTCCCTGAGGGCATGGCTAGAAGGCTGTCATGATGGGTTCCCACCTGTCAAAATTTACCTTCTCTCTCTCTCTCTCTTTCTCTCTCACACACAAACCTGCATCCCACCACTGTACGACTGTCCAATAAAAAGTCTCTGACCTGAATCCTTTTATCAGTTGGTCTCAGACCTGTCCTACTGATTAAGAAGCAACAAAAGGAGAGGAGAGGAGGAGGGCACATGCTCCTGAGACAGGTGCAGTGGAGTCCATGTCACCTAGGGTGGGCCAGGTGTCCCACTTCATACAAGACAGTCTCCCATGCTGGAGAGCTGTCAGAGGACAGTCCTATATTTGAAGGCCACCTGTTTTCGATGGGCTATACAGAAAGAACCGTAAGCAGGAAGACCAGAGAGCAGCCTTGATGTGCCCATGAATCAACAGCACCTGAACTGAAGGCTGAGCGGGCCCACAGATCACCTAGTGGTTACAGCCTTCAGCACCATTGATTGATTGATTGATTGATTGATTATAGCTTTCGTGTACTGTTCTTTAGCATAAGCGGTCAGCACTAGGGGGAGATGGGTTGCATTTTGATATACACTTGAAGTTACCGTTTCTAAATGTGTACTGATGGATAGAAAGAAGCATATGCCAATATCATGCAAAGGAGCATCCTCTGTAGTCCTCTTTATCGAAGATGCATGCCTATTTGGTGGGAATGTGCAAGTGGCCACCCTAGTACTGTTCCTAACCTCCTTTCTGATCAAGTTAGCAGTGTGGTTGAGTGCTCTGACCCCCGAGAAAGCGTCGTAGTTCCAGAGGAAAAGTGGTTGGGGCAAAAGGTGTGCTGCTTCTGCATGAGAGACGCAGCAGAGTACTCGGCAGCAGATTGATGTGAAAATGCTTTCTGCATTTAGTTTTCCTTTCTCTTCTTCCAGCTGGGATAAAAAGAACAATCCAGAGCCATGGAATAAACTGAGTCCAAATGACCAGTACAAGGTAGGTGAGTGCTTGCAGAGCTGATCACATTAGATCAAAGGAAAGCAAATAGAAAAAAGTGTGTGTGTGTGTGTGTGTGTGTGTGTGTGTGTGTGTGGTTGCAAACACAGCCAGCTCCAGCATTCAGGGGTCCCTTGGGCAAGGGACCCTCCTTTCCGAGGTGCCACTGCCCAGTCACCCCTCTTCTCCCTCTTGGCTCAGTCCACACAACTGCTCAGAAGAGGAGCGTAAGGGGAGGATGCTGTGCCTTCCCCTCGCCTGTGTCATTGCTTGCATGCTGGGAGGAGGCAGGTGAAGAGGCAGCATAACCAGAGAAGAGGCGGCCCCATAGAATGCCTGTGACCCCCACCCACACTGGGGTAGGTAGGCCTGCATAGGCAGCCAAGTGTGCCTACCCCAGCGGGTGCCAGGATGAATGCCAGGGTGGGGCCACACCTCTGGAAGACTTTATGGAAGTCCTTCAATGGGACGATCCAAATTGCCTCATGCCATGGGAGTTTCAGGGGACAGAGAATGCAAGCAGTCATTCACTGAGAATCTTTGCTTCCTCAGTTCATGGCTGTCTCCATGGACTACAAAGACCTGAAGAAGGATCGGCCAGATTTCTGAGGGTGCCATGGCCAAGTCGTTCTCCAGCCCCTGCTGTTTTCGGACCGCCAGCCTTGCCACTCTGTGCAGCTGCACCTTTTGCTCTCTCGCCAGCCTTTGAAGTGTCCCTCATGGCAACTGCACACGCCAAGATGCCACCGCTGTGTCCTGCCTGCATCTGCCTGCTTTTGCTGGTGCCACACCAAAAAGAAAGAAAAAAAAATCAGTAGCCCATTCAGCAGAAGCAAAGGAAACGATTAACCTATTCTTTTTCTGTGAAATGCATCTGTCTATTGTGGTAACAAACAGCCAATTTATTAAAGTGGCAGGGGAAAGAAAGAAAACAAACCCTTGGGGTCCTATCAAGGCATCTCAGTTCAGTATTTTCCATCCCCTTCCTGTGAATGGTCCTGACTTCCCACTTGTCGCATTTCCTGTCTCCCACGCTCTCATTTACCATTCCCACAGAGGAAACACAGCACCAGAAAGTAGATCCTAGCCCTAGCTAAAGCTGGTTTTAGGGAAGTTGCCGACCATAAGAGAGCTGAGTCCAAATTTGGAGGAGGCAGACGTGGTGGGAGGAGACCACAAGGTTTGTCACAGCAGGACTTGCAAGTGTCCTAGGACCAGCCTGGACATCATGAGCAGCTGACAGGGCTAGGTGGTGTGCCAATTTGTATGACTGGGAAAACACGGCTGTGCTTATGTGTCAGAGTATGCATTATATGGGGCATTTGAATAACGAAGCTATATGTGGATAAGCTGATGCTCTAGCATTTTTGGGGTGCATGTGCAGATGTTTGGGCACAACATCTCCGTGCATGTCTCCATACATGTATACATGTAGACCCACTGTGCATATGCTGCATGCATCCTGTAAGCATCCATATAATTAGGATAAAGGAATGTGTGCAATAGGATTGAGCATATTTCGTGTGTACAGCCAGGCTTTCTTTTTCTTCTGTGCCAAGACCAATTAGGGCTTTGCCCCTGAAATCTGTTTTCTGTGCCAAGAAGCAGCCCTGGAATATGCTAAGTGGGAATAAGGAAGAGAGTTCCTTTGAGCAATTGCAGAGTGCCTTTGACATGCTGCTACCTAGCCACATGGGGTTAAGGAGAGAGGCTTGTGGAAAAGAGCAGAAATAGAAGTCCCAGTTCCTACACTCAAGGTATGTGCTGCATTAGCTCTTGGGTATATATACACACTGGGCTGGATCCAGACATAGTAGACCTTTTGAATCCAATGGGATTTAAGCTAGTAACACCTAACTTGCCCCACTGAGTTTAGTGGTTTCAATCAGGGTATGGCTAAGCCTGGATCCAACCTCCAGCCTTTTACATATGTCACATGCAATAATGCACTCGCATACATAGCACATAAGAATAGGCTTCTTGCTCCAGGCATCTATCTGGATGGGAAACCATGTATTTATGCATTTGAATAGTGATGGTTTAAGCAGTAGTGCACGAATGTAACTCCTTCGTAAGCTGCCTCTCTAGCCAAATCCATGAAATTGCTGAAATCTGTGTGTTTGTTACGTCTGCATTCTGTTCTGCCCCCAGAGAATGTTGAGAGCTCCTTTAGCCTTAATCCAACTGGGTTAGCCTGAGAATAGCTTGCTAATGGCTGTCCAGGCAGCTCCTTTGCTAAGCAGCTATTTGGATTCATCTAGCAAAGCCAGAATGGTCTGGTACCTACACCCTGCTGGAAATAAACTGAGCAGGTATTTAAGTATCTGCATATGTGTGAAGGCAGAAGCACAAACATTGTACAAGCTGCAAGTACACTGGGAACACGACTGCAGCCTCTAGAAGAGAGATGGGGACCAGGTGCAGTTGGACTACAATCCCCCATCAGTTCTAGACAGCATAGGCAGGGCTGAAGGTTGATGGGAGTTACATTCTGACCAAATCTGAAGAGTCCTATGTCCACCACCCTCACTTTAATATGTACAAAGGCTGGAGACAGACATGAATTAAGAGGCATGAAAATGGTTTGAGAGGCTTCCTTGCCCACTCTGAATGTAAGATCAGTCCCACCGACACCTCTGCTTAAACTGGTGTTCTGGGTTTTTAAAGAATGCCAGAGCCTACAAAACCTGTTTAGCAGAAGCAGCAGCGGGACACAAGCGCATCTCCTACAAGCACCCCTCTTTGGAGCTGCCTTCAGCTCTCTGTAGGAAGAAAAGGAAGAAATGCCATTGTCTGCCTCCCATCTTGGCCATTCAGTTTGGCCAAGCACAAACACAGAGCAGGTGGGAGACCAGGAGCAGGGGACGTGCCACAGACCAAGGAGCTGCTTAAAGGGCCCTGGATGCTGGCAGCTGCTGGAAGGCCCCTCCTGCTGCTAAGGAAGCAAGGCCATGATGCAGAACTCTGGTTTCTTTGTCCCGAAGAGCAGCCATGGGGGGGGGGGGGTCTGATTTTGATCAAAACAGCAATAGGAGGGGGATATTAGCCCCTCCCCCACCCCACAGAGACCGTGCCCTGACCCCTCCAAAGCTAGCATTAGCCCCACTCAGAGGAAGAAATGCAGGCATGGTAACAGGTCCATTCACCCCTCCCACAAAGCAGAGATAACAGCTACCAACAGAACGGTTGCAAACCACCCAGAGAACTCCAGCTATTAGGCAATAATAGGAATGAAATGAAACAATTTGGAAGGGGACGTCCTGATCAGGAAAGCAATGCAGAGGGGAAAGGCTGGAGAAGCCCTCCTCCTTGCTGCTGCTCTGGTCCTAATTGGAACCCAGCTGCCCTCGCCTAAGAAAGGACAACATGTCAGGAGACCTTCTGGCCCTAAGCAGGACTCACAAGCAAACCGGATCTGGCAAATGTTCTGTTTGTCTTCCCTATTTGAAACTGGAGTACTTGCACCTGGAGGAACTTGGGGATAAAATTCCCGCTTAGCTGGTGCATATATGCAGCACAGAGTTCTTTGTTAGCGATGGACATCAGGCGCTTCTGTGTGCCGTTTCATTGCTGGGGGTCATGGGTTTGCAACCCAGAGATACATCATATCCCCTTTTAACGCCTCTGCATCAGTACAAGGGGACACACTGTAGCCTCTTCAGCGTGTGGGTCATCCTTTCCGCTGCACACAGGAATGAGCCGGAGTTTTTCTTGGTCACCCGTCGTGCCCAGCAAGTGAGGAGCAGCGGGACAAGTGGGCAGACCCCAGGGATGGATGGAGAGGAGCCTGCTGCAGCAGTGAGAGTGGGTGGGCAGATCTCAGGGGTGGGTTCTGCCTTGCACTGTTTTTGCATTGCCACCCGCTGGGGATGCAGCCAGCTTTGAACCCCCTTGCTCTGCAAAGTACGTCCAGGTTTTCCACCAATTTGGGATCCAGCTTCCCCTGTTAAACCATTCTGGGTGTTTCCACCATCCTCTGAAAGAGGGATGTCAGGATCTGAAGACTTCACGCACCCCCCAATGACATGTTGGTGAAGAGCCGTGTAGTTCACCCCACAAGCACTGGAAGGGTTGGCATCAGAGCTGTGGGTAGTTGCTCGGATCAGAGCCTCGGCCATCGTGAGGGGCAGCCGGGAGCTCTGGAAGGCTCCGCAAAAGGCTGGCCTGCGCTGCTCCACTTGGTCACAGCAATACGTCTGTGGTGGCTGCAGTGTGTTCATGATAGCCTCGTCTTGACTCCTACCTCTGATTTGACTCTGGTTTGCAAGGTCCTGGATCCTTGCCTTCACCTCTGGTTTGGCCGTGCCTTCTGGCCCTGGTGCCCCCTCTTGGTGGTATCTGACCCTTGTCTTCTCCTGGTCCTGCCTTTGCCTCTGGACCTGCCAGGTGGTGTCTGATCTTAGCTTGTCCCTGCCTTTGCTCTTCTCTGCTACAGCACTCCAAGGTCTCCATCCTCCCTCGTCCTGGCACTGCAGCCACTGGCACCTGCTGCTATGCCCTGAACCTGACTGGCTGTTTCTAAGGTTTCTCTGCATCCTGCTTTACAGAGGGCAGTCCTCTTTTTGAAGAGCTGTCCAGTCCAAAGCTGGTTTAAAAATAAGGAACCACTGGAAGGAAGAGTAGGACCTTGAGGTTGCCCATCAGCAGTAGTACCCAGGCACATGGGCTTCCTGGTCATGATGGCATGTATTACATCTCTGTTTCAGTTATCATAACTATTGAATTGTCATCTAGCCACACAATGTGCCGTGTCCAATTGGTATGCAAACGGCTCTCCTTTTCTTTCACCTCTCTCCTTGTTTGACAGTGTGTACCTGGGCACCATAAGTATTTGGGGAGGGGACAGGAAGGGGCACCATTCAGCAAACCTTTGGTGGAGAGGAGTCATCCACAGGCGCCTCCTGCTTCTCTCAACCTGTGATTTCCTGCAGTCTGCTGGGAAGAGATGACTGTTCTGCCTGGACTGTGGAGAGAAATGCAACATTCCCCATTCTGGGTGGCTGCCCCCCACTCTGCTCTCCCCCCACCCCGACAAAGCCACACAGGCCGGAGGCAAAATCCAATCGCGTTGAACAAATCCAATTTGCAGTAGCAGCTAATAGAGTTTGTTGCTGGTTTAAGCGATGGCAGCGTCAGAAACGCTCTGAAAATCATCCAGGCCCCAGGCCAGGCAGAGAAAGAAGGAAGCAAGCTGGGTGCTGAGCCTTCCCCAGAGAGGGGCTTGGCAAAGCCCAGCTTAGCATCCACCTTAGTCCTGGCAGGACTCCAGCAAAAATAGGGCAGAAGCTGGGAGGAAATGTTCAGTGCCTGGCATGTGGGGCAACAAAAGGGCAATGCCGGGATGATACATAGCTGTACTACCTGTTCCTATTTCAGATAGACCACCCAGGTGACAGATTATGATGCAGATTAAGGGGGTTAATCTAACTCCTGGATGTCTGTGAAGACATCCTAACTCCTCTTTGCCAGACAGCAGTAGCCTTTCCAACTTGCAGGCTGATTTGGAAATAGGAATAAAGGATCCAACTGCATTGGCACTGGGTACTTTCTGGTGACAACCTGCTCTCCTGGTCTTAGCCTCTCCCCTCCTTAGCCTTCTTCTCCCTACCTTAAGGCAAAGACGTGCACATGGTGGGCATGTCGTGAGCGGAGCCGGCTGGTGCCGGAGGTCAGACTAGATGGCCCGGGAGACCCCTTCTGACTCGCTCTGTTTCTATGTTTCTATGTTTCAATTCCAGATCACTGAATCTCTGACCAGAAAATGTGCCTGGCTTTTGCCCAGCACCACAAGTGCAGTTGCAGCTTCTGCAGTCGTGCTGCTCCCGAAAGCTTTCTTCCCTGTCTGCCTCGCCACCCATCCTCACAGTTATGGGAACAAAGAACAAGCCTTCTTGCTCCAGGGGAGGGAGGTTCCTTGCTCCCTCTTGCCTCCTCTC